TAGGATCAACTGGAGCTTTTGTTAATCAAGTTGCCTATAAATGAAATAAATAAATAGTGAAAATATGGCACATCTTTATTTGATCTTGACACTTGAAAGGATGGCATTTAGCAGCAGGCTCATGCTTATCTTTGTTGTCTTGCACAACCAAAAGAAACCCCACAAATTCTTTTCAATGTTAAACATAATGTATAGCTGTCACTCCAGTGACTGGTGATTTCAATGTTGTTGTTGTTTAGTCATTTAGTTGTGTCCAACTCTTCGTGACCCCATGGACCAGAGCATGCCAGGCATTCCTGTCTTCCACTGCCTCCTGCAGTTTGGTCAAACTCATGTTAGTAGCTTCAAGAACACTCTCCAACCATCTCGTCCTCTGTTGTCCCCTTCTCCTTGTGCCCTCAATCTTTCCCAACATCAGGGTCTTTTCCAGGGTCTTGTCTTCTCTTCTCATGAGGTGGCCAAAGTATTGGAGCCTCAGCTTCAGGATCTGTCCTTCCAGTGAGCACTCAGGGCTGGTTTCCTTCAGAATGGATAGGTTTGATCTTCATGCAGTCCATGGGACTCTCAAGAGTCTCCTCCAGCACCATAATTCAAAGCATCAATTCTTTGGCGATCAGCCTTCTTTATGGTCCAACTCTCACTTCCATACGGCACTACTGGGAAAACCATAGCTTTAACTATACGGACCTTTGTTGGCAAGGTGATGTCTCTGCTTTGGTGATTTCAATATGTTAAGCTTATTCTGAAAACCAGGGATTAATCTCTCAAGACACTATGAGGGCCAGCAAGTGGGGAAATTGCTAACGTCTTAACGGTATGGTTATTTTTTAAAATCCAATTCCACTTTCCTCAGCACCCCAAAATGCACTCTGTCCATTCTCTCCTTTTCTTTCTCTGCTTTATAGTGCTCCATCTTTCTTCTGCACCCCATAGGGCAGGTTATGATGCAGATTTATATATTTATATAAAAAATAGTTCCACACCACTTTATAGCCCCACAAGGTTTTCATAGCAGCTTACAAAAGATTCTCACAATAAAATCACACTCAGATCTAGTAGAAATCTAGTAGAAGGACGAAAAATTCACAGTATCGAGGCAGCATTTCCTGTTCATTTCCTTGTCCCTTCCCTAGTGTCATACCAGGCAACAGTTCTCGCAAAAAATCCTCTGAGGCCAGGTAGCTGGACCTGGCTCATCCCATGATGGAAACAGTCTTCCCTTACTGGCAGTTGCTGGTTGCCAGGCAACAGCATCAAACTCTGTACCTCCATCTGTTGTTTTGCTCATTTCCTGTTGCCCTACCCACCACACTCACCCTATCTCAATAACCCCCACATTTTTTCTATCCTTCACCACTACACAGATTTCTCTAAATCCAACTATGTCTGTGCTTCACAACTTTCCCTTTGCTATGTCCCTTCACAACTCTCTTTGCAACCCCAATTCCCTTTTCCTTCGGTTGATTAGTATAGTTGTTATTTTTGGTGTTTTTCTGCCCCCTGCTCCCAGCCCCAGTCTCTCTCCCAGAGAGGGAATCTCAGCCACCAGTGGGCTGTGCAGAATAGCCAGCTACAACAGAATGGGAAAAAACAGAGCTGGCCCATGACATTTTGGCACCTGAGGCAAATCACAAAATGGGCCTTTTCCAGGAAAGAGGGGGGTGTGAAGAAAAATTTGGAGGGGGGGAATAATGATCAACAAGGGGGAGTAAAGATCAACATTGGGAACAGGGGAAGGAATCAAGTCAACCTTACCCAGCAGCTGAACTGGTAATCTAAGACCTTCACAGGGAGAAACGGGTCTGCTCTGAATCATGCCTGGTGGTTACAGAGCTCAAGAGCCCCCTGAAGGCTGTTGGAAAAACGCCCTGGGAATGGCTGCCAACTTGCCAACTTGACATGAGCCAACAGTGTGACGCGGCAGCTAAAAAAGCCAATGCAATTCTGGGCTGCATCAATAGGAGTATAGCATCTAGATCAAGGGAAGTAATAGTGCCACTGTATTCTGCTCTGGTCAGACCTCACCTGGAGTACTGTGTCCAGTTCTGGGCACCACAGTTCAAGAAGGACACTGACAAACTGGAACGTGTCCAGAGGAGGGCAACCAAAATGGTCAAAGGCCTGGAAACGATGCCTTATGAGGAACGGCTAAGGGAGCTGGGCATGTTTAGCCTGGAGAAGAGGAGGTTAAGGGGTGATATGATAGCCATGTTCAAATATATAAAAGGATGTCACATAGAGGAGGGAGAAAGGTTGTTTTCTGCTGCTCTAGAGAAGCGGACACGGAGCAATGGATCCAAACTACAAGAAAGAAGATTCCACCTAAACATTAGGAAGAACTTCCTGACAGTAAGAGCTGTTTGACAGTGGAATTTGCTGCCAAGGAGTGTGGTGGAGTCTCCTTCTTTGGAGGTCTTTAAGCAGAGGCTTGACAACCATATGTCAGGAGTGCTCTGATGGTGTTTCCTGCTTGGCAGGGGGTTGGACTTGATGGCCCTTGTGGTCTCTTCCAACTCTATGATTCTATGATTCTATGATTCCCAAGTCTTCGAGGTGTCTCTCCGGTGGTCCTCTCTGGCTATAAATCTCCCTCAATCCAGAGAGACCGGTAATAGGCGACCCTCCTCTCTTGAAAAGAGCACGCCAGTCTTCTGGCATATCATAGCAGAAGAAAGACTCAATCGTAGTTCTAAAACTACTTTATTTACAGTCATATACAGAGACTCCATCAGTATGTCCGTGCTCTCGGAACACCAATACAGAAACCTGTGACACACACAGAAGTGAAACTAACTTCCAATAGTACTCAAAGGAAGAGATAATACAGACTTCCTTTCTCACGCTGTCTCAGACACACACATGATGTATACAATCATAGTACCACTCACCGGAGCAGCTCAGATAGATAAAAATCCTAACAAAGGCAGCCCCCACCATTTCTTCCCTAAGGGTGAGAGGAGACCAGCAGTGTCCCTATTAGTGTCCCCGATAAGCTGCTGTGGAAGTGGCATGGGGGTGCCAAGGTGATGGCAGATCCAGCCTCAGAGGAACAAGCCACAGGTGACACATTCTTTGGAGGTCAGATCTAGTGGCCCATTGCAGGTGGCCACCTTGTGACTGCTTTTGGAACTGTCTGGAGCAGGCTTCCTCAACCTTGGGCCCTCCAGATGTTTTTGGCCTACAACTCCCATGATTCCTAGCTAGCAGGGATGATGGGAATTGTAGTCTCAAAACATCTGGAGAGCCGAGGTTGAGGAAGGATACTTGGACCCAGGAAATGTAAAAATCCAACAATGCTTTAGAAGGCTAGGAGAAAAGAAGTAGATAGCCAATGCATGTTGAGATGTGGCCTTTCCTCCACTAAATAATATGAAGGTTTCTACACCCTAGATAGAGACCAGAGATAATATAGCAGTTGCAAGACATCGGGAATAAATGTACTTAATCCACATATGGGATTGGCTTTTAATTAGGCTGTTTAATTACATACAAGTTGAGGGCAACTAAGTTTTGAAAATTTGGCTGGGGGTGTGTCACACAAATATTCCTGTTTATCCACATTTATGTATCAGGTAGGCATAAATTAATTTATCTTTTTAAAGAGAATTATTAGTGGTATTTCACCAGAAAGAAAACTATCATAGAACTCTTGGAAATGGGTCACTTTCATTCATTTGGAAAACGAACTTGCCTGTAATTATCCCAAGTCTTATAAAAGGCAGAAGAGATTATTTAGCAAGTAATAAGTGATGTGCAACAGCATCTGATTTTTTATTATTATTTTAAAAACTGCATAGTATACCAAAAAAAACCCAAAACCTCACCATCATGTTATACTTGAATAAATATCTTTGGGGTGTACATTCTTTTTTTCAGCTGGTCCACCACAAGTTCAAGGTTACAAGGTCGAAAGATGTAATTGTTCAGACTTCTAAATATGTGATGCCTTACACAATGAATCATTTATTTTACTACTACTATTCAATATTTAACTAGCTCTAGCAGCATGTAACATGCTGACCACGCACTAGACCAGCATGCATATGTCAAAAATAGTTGATGGAAAATGCCAAAATCCTAAGAGAAGCTACTCATGCAGCAAAATCCTAAGTGTGTTTATTCAGAAGGAAATCCCACAATGTTCAGTGGGACTGTCTAGTCAACGTGCTTTGAACTGCAGCCTTAATCATTGATGGGAAAACACTGCTGCACCTGTAGTGAAAAATCATAAAACTGCACTCCCCCATTCTGAGCAGTACCTCGTTTTCTAAATCAGGGGTGGTTAACCTTTTTATCTGAAGTCTGCATTCTCACAAGATAATCTGTCAGGGACCACATGTTGGTAGTGGGCAGGGCCACAGCTGACAGTGGGTGAGCCACCCACTTTCCCCACTCACACTCTGCCATACATTTCTGCTTCTCTGTCTTCCTGCCATCCACTTCTTCTTGCCCATTGGACTGCTGGGTGAGAGGCATATCACTCTTCCAAAGATCTGAATTGTTTGCTTGCTACCCTCCTCCACTTTTAATTGATTTGATTTGGTATCTCCATGTTTTCCACCTACCACCCACCATCTCTCCCTCTGCCCCCCACTTATGAAATTAGGTCAAAGGCTACAGGACACCCCACCCCCTTATTTTGCTCGATACATAGTGGCGATTAGAGGTAGGAAAATTACACTCTTTGCAGTTTTGTTTTTTTAAAATGAGTACTTTAATTTAGCTTCTGGAAGGGTAGGGCCCAGTCAGGGATGCAATTCAACCAGGACCCATGTACTTTAGACCAGGCACCCCCAAACTTGGCCTTCCAGATGTTTTGGGACTACATTTCCCATCATCCCTGACCACTGGTCCTGCTAGCTAGGGATATTGGGAGTTGTAGTCCCAGAACATCTGGAGGGCTGAGTTTGGGGGTGCCTGCTTTAGACCATATTTTGGAAATTGTCCATTTCTGTGTCCTGCACATCATGTGGCTGGTGGATATGACCCTCCCCTATTGAAATGCCATCCCTGTCCACTGTTTAGGATTCCGTTCTTGCTTGGTGTGGTTGTATAAGAATTTTTCCACAGTCGACATGAACTTGCTTACTTGCATGATCACAGTTCCTTCTGAGGAGATTTCACCCCTCCCATATCCAAGAATCTCCTGAGGAGTCTGCTGATTCTCCAGAGAGGAGGAGGCGTGTTCTGCTCTCTACTTATTCTGCTCCAGCACCAAGTCAGTCAGTCAGTCAGTGTCGGAGAGAGAGAGAGAGACTGAGTGTTAGAGATCGTGTGTAGAGATAAGGTTGCTGCTAAGAGCAGCTGCAGACACTCAGTGCAGTGCAGCATTCATTTATGCTTAGACCTATTTAGCTCTGTATATAGTTGTATAATAGTTGTAGATAGAATAAAGAAGATATTCTACAGAGCTGCTCTCCAAGTTGTTTATATACTCTGCTAGAGTCTGCTGTACTCTGCTGTGCGACGACTGTCTTCTTGTGGAAGTGAATCCGGTGCTCACAACTCTAAGCTGTGAGTCCACAGCACTTTGACCTGTTCCTGTGCAGAAGGTGGTCTCTGGAAGTGCTACCCAGCTCGCCTAGCCCAGTCGGGGCTGAAGTGGATGAGTCCAGTTGGTGGCACTGACTCAAGGGCGATGCTGACATCGGTTATGGGCCCAGTCGTTGTCCCAGTCACCTGACCAGTCGTTGTTCCAGTTGTACCAGTCGTCCCACTCGTCCCAGTCGCCAGAGGTTTCTGTTGCTGATTGCCGGACGGCGGAACGGACGCTGCATGCTGGACTGATTTGTGGTGCCCAGAAGCAGAGCTGTTTTGGAGCAGAGTGTTCAAGCTGCCGCTGTTGCTGTTGCTGCTGCTTGATTTATGGAGGTATGTTGCTGACTGCCAAAGAAAGAAGATAGCATCCCTGTTTGCCTGTTAATTGCGCTCTGAGTGGGAGAGAGAGTGGCTGAAGGAGTCAAGGCTTTATCTGTGTTGCACGAGGGAAGTGTCTTGCTCTAAGTAATAGCAGACATGGCCTGTGCACATTCTGGCCAGATGGCTCTGTCCTTTCCTCTCCTCACGCCTGAGACCTATGCAGTTTGGCAGGTCAAGATGAAAGCGCTTTTACAGAGGGAAAAGCTATTTCACACTATAGAAGACGACCCTCCCAATAAGGATGATGATGAATGGCCTGAGTGGCATGCTGCAGATATGAGAGCCCGAGGGACAATTGTTTTTGAGTGTTTCAGACCACTTGTTGGTGAACTTAGAGGGTCAAGAGACTGCACGAGCTGTTTGGCATAAGTTGAGAGATATGCATTTGAGGCAGAATGCTGGTTCCAGTGTGATTTTCTTCAAGAAGCTGTGCAGGCTGCAGTTGGAGAAAGGTGGTGATTTGCCTAGCCATCTATCTCAGTTAAAGCGTCTCAGACAGGACCTTGTTCAGCGAGACCTGGCTATTTCAGAGGCTGTGTTTGCAATGCTGATGATAAATAGCCTAGATGATTCTTATGATGGAGTAGCTGCCCAGTTTTCTACAATGCCTTCTGACCGGCTAACGGAAGATTATGTGTCTAGCATGCTCTTGAATGAGTGGGATCTCAGACAGGCTGTTAGAGAAAGCCAGGAAAATGGTGCTGTTAAAAATGTGCTTGAAAATGTGCCTAAGTCTCCAGCAGGGGAAAGTGAAAGTGAAACTGCTGCTGTTAAAGCACTAAAGTTGAAGCAGTGCTTTTCGTGTAGAGCACAAGGCCATTTGAGTTTTCAGTGCAGCAAGAAATCTTCAAAGAAGAAGGGAAACTTCAGAGGCAGAGGGGGGAGGAGGACGAAATCCCCAAGCACCTGCTACTTCAAAGGCTTTGATCTCTCGCTGCTCCAATCAACGTGGGTGGAGTTTCTTCGTGGTCGACTCTGGCTGTTCAAACCACGTGGCCAAAGATAAGGATCTCTTTGTTCATCTTGAGAAGCAAGAGAAAGAAATTCATCAAGCAGATGGGACTGTCCTCACGAGTTTGGCTCAGGGAACTGTGTTTTTAAAGAGCCTGAATGCAACAATTAAGAATGTCCTGTATGCGCCTGATATTCAGGACAATTTGTTGAGTGTTTCCCAGCTTGATCGTCAAGGGTTTAAGGTGGTGTTTGCTAAATCTCGCTGTGAAATTCGTCGAGATGGCAAGCTCATTCTGTATGCAAAATGTGTAAATGGTCTGTACCAATTGCCTTTTGTTTCAGGTACAGGTACTGCAGAAGCAACTGAGAAAGAGTGTTGCAATTTATCTGTTGATAAGAATGAGAAGTTGCATGACCAATGTATTCATTATTACCACCGTGTTTATGGTCATTTGAATTTCCAGGCTGTGGCAAAAATGCCTGATATGGTTCAGGGTATGAAGTTGAAAGAATGTCCCTACCACATGAAATGTGTTTCTTGTGCTGAGAGTAAGGCAAGGCAAGCTCCCAAAGGTACAGAGTCTGGGAGAGAGGCCAAGAAACCATACGAAGTCATTCATGCAGACTTAGTGGGGCCTCTAGCGCTCTCTAGAGGCAATTTGAGGTTTTTTATGGTTCTGATAGATGCCTATTCGAGATATGTATGGGTCTATATGTTGCAGAAAAAGTCTGAAGCCTTTACCAAGTTTCGCCAGTTTTGTAAATGGCTCAGAATGTACATAATGAGAACGTACGTTGTCTTTTCACTGACAAGGGTGGTGAGTTTTGTTCAGAGGAGTTTGAGGCTTTTCTTTCTGAACAGGGCATTGAGCATAGGACTGCCACGCCCAGATCACCCTGGCAGAATGGTTTATGTGAGAGAATAAACCAGACCCTGCAGCAAGGAATCAGAACACTGTTACATGATTCGGGGCTGCCCAATCCCTTTTGGGCCGAAGCTCTTTCATTTTTCTGTCATGTGTATAACAGGAGGTACCAGTCTCCTGTAAATTGCACCCCATACGAGATGCTTCACGGAAGGAAGCCATGTGTAAAGCATTTTTAAAATTTTGGGTCGGAGTTTTGGGTGCACACCTCACAGGGTGACAAACTGAGTAAGCGTGGAAAACATGGTGTTTTCCTAGGATATGAGAAAGGGTCTTATCGTGTCCTGATCACAGACACGAAAACCATAAGGCTGACCAGGAGTATTGACGACAATCCACAATGGGACAGAGTTGGCGTTTTTCAGTGCCATCCCATTTGTGATGATGGTGCAAAAGGGGCAAAGACAGTTAAGAGGGAGGCAAGTTCTGATGTGATTGATAATCCTGATGCCGATGTAAATTCGGATGGTGGCACAGATTATCAGAGCCCAAAAGCCTCAGGAGAGTCTGATGCTGATTCAGACTTAGCAGCTTCATATACTTTAGCTCCCCACTCTCCCAAAGAGGAGGAAGCACCAGAACAAGAGGCTCAGAGAGTTTTGCGCAGATCCGAGAGAACAACCAAGGGTGTACCACCGAAAAGATTTTCTGAAGAGTTTGCAAAGGCTGCGGTCACATGCAACTCTGGTGGGGTTTTTAAACCAGGCATGAAGTGTGCTGAGAATAATAGTACAAAACGCTTTATTTATTTCCTTACCTGACCTAAAGTGGTTCATGTATAATATGTTTAAAGGATCAGGATTGAAGGAGCAAGCGTGTGTTTAAGTACAAAAAGTGGTTTGCTTAAATCTGCCTAAATTAGCAATGTTAATTTGCATCTGAAAGAGAGAAACGTGTATGAAGATTTTTCTAGAAGCTGCTTATTCATTTGTGTAGTCACAATGTGTTTTGTGTAAACTACAGATTGAGGTTTATGATTTAACTTTTTCCTGATAGACAGAGTGATTGTAGTAACTGTTTAATGATGTGTTAAAGTGTCTTAGATAAAGGGGGAGAGAGATACCTGCAAATGTGTTAACCAAGGTTGTAAGCAGAGAACAACTTTTGGAGTGTGTGTGTAAATTGCAGTTATGTTAAAGATTCTTGAAATGGTCGGATGAAATGGGGGAGGATGAGGAGATTTCACCCCTCCCATATCCAAGAATCTCCTGAGGAGTCTGCTGATTCTCCAGAGAGGAGGAGGCGTGTTCTGCTCTCTACTTATTCTGCTCCAGCACCAAGTCAGTCAGTCAGTCAGTCAGTGTCGGGGAGAGAGAGAGAGACTGAGTGTTAGAGATCGTGTGTAGAGATAAGGTTGCTGCTAAGAGCAGCTGCAGACACTCAGTGCAGTGCAGCATTCATTTATGCTTAGACCTATTTAGCTCTGTATATAGTTGTATAATAGTTGTAGATAGAATAAAGAAGATATTCTACAGAGCTGCTCTCCGAGTTGTTTATATACTCTGCTAGAGTCTGCTGTACTCTGCTGTGCGACGACTGTCTTCTTGTGGAAGTGAATCCGGTGCTCACAACTCTAAGCTGTGAGTCCACAGCACTTTGACCTGTTCCTGTGCAGAAGGTGGTCTCTGGAAGTGCTACCCAGCTCGCCTAGCCCAGTCGGGGCTGAAGTGGATGAGTCCAGTTGGTGGCACTGGCTCAAGGGCGATGCTGACACCTTCTACCTTCTTGAATATGGCTGTGACATCACACATCCACAAGCATTTCTGCAATGTGTTTCTTCTAGCTGTTCAGACATTAACAGGCTATTTTTGCCCCAAAATGTACACATAGGCGACATCAGAGGTAGGTCAGAAACTTTTAGAATGCGTTTCTGTCTTCACAGTTACTAGAACCATCACAGTATGGAAAGTAAGCAATGTAATAATATTTATTTATTTATTTATTTATTCATTCATTCATTCATTCCCTGCCCTCCCCAGCCAAGACTGGGCTCAGGGCGGCTAACAACCAACAATAAAAACAAGTTCATTAAAATACAATTTAAAAGATTAAGATACAACATTAAAACATTAGGATGCAGTCTCTTCATAGGAGGAGAAATGAAAAAGAAAGAGGGGGAGGGAATCAAACTGATTCTAAGCCAAAGGCCAGGTGGAACAAGGGCAGCCCCGCGTAGAGCGAATTACAGTAGTCAAGCCTGGAGGTGATCATCACATGGACCACTGTGGCCAGGTCGGGGCGGGAAAGGTAAGGGACCAACTGCTTGATGCGGCGAAGGTGGAAAAATGTCGCCTTGGCTGTTGTAACCTGCACCTGTAATGTAGCTTTTCTAGACACATGTTACAATGAGTGCCCAGAAATGCAGCTGTCCACAAGTGAATGCTGAAAACCCCAGAGAGTAGAGTGGCCATGTGTCTTTCCTTACAGATAGGTGTCCTCTATTTGAAGGGTTGTCCAGTATTCAAATCTGGCTTAAAGATACAAATAGGAGAACAGAGACCTTGATGTTGCCCATCAATAGCTAATACCTGGACAGCAAATGAGCTCAGTAGCAGAGCACCTGCTTTGCATGCAGAAGACCCCTGGCATCTGCAAATATGGCTGGAAAAGACTCCCATCTGGAACCCCGGACAGCTGGTGTAAGTCAATGTAAACAGTACTGAGCTAGGAGGACCAATGGTTTGATACAGCATAAAGGCAGATTCCTATGTTCCCAACTGAGCAAGCACACAGGCCACCTGCTTACAGGTTTCCCCAGTATCGTGAGATGCATGGTATTTATATTTAAAGTAATTATGGGAGCATCCAAAGCCCAAGTTCTGCCTGGATTAATGGAATTTGGATAGGCAGTTTTCCAGCTGAGCTGGAGTTCGCCCAGCAGGAGTTCCTCATCCCAGCTCAAGCACGGATGCACCTGTGTAAGTCAGCTGGAGCAAGTCTTGAAAAACAGGCAAGGCAACATAGGGCAGAAGCAGGGCAAGGGGAGACTTACCCTTATTCCAAATTCCCTTTACCTTGATCATGTGATCTAGCCAGGGACAGATTTAGGTTTGATGAGGCCCTAAGCTACTGAAGGTAATGGGGCCCTTTATATGTCCAGCTGTCCTTTGTCAACAACAAATTGTCGCTGTTTTTTGTGTTGAATATTTATATATATATATATATATATATATGGGAGCAGGCTAGGCCCATTCCGTACATCATAGGAGCCTACACAATACAAAACACTGTTGCTGTATGCAGGTTTTATTTTATTTGTTTTTATCTTATATTTTGGAAATGTACATCCAGGTGTTTTTTTCCTTTACATTTTTTTTTGGGGGGGGGCCAAGAGAGTGTGGCCCTAAGCTATAGCTTGTTTATCTTATATGTAAATCTGGCACTGGATCTAGCAATCCAGCAGAAGGTATACTGACAAAAAAGGGTGGCATAAATCAAACTGTTTAAAAGACTCGTTTTTCCCTCTGCCAGGTCCCAGTCAGTTCAGGCAGCAGTAGCGCTACTCCTGAACAGAGTTTGGAATAAGGGTAAATTACACTGGCATAGAGCATTCCTACAGTTTGGAGTGCTCTGTATTTCTAAGTGTGCATCTCTACCATCAATTAGCACATGCAGCTTTTATGCAAATACATCATATTTTCCAGAGATGTGTTTCCTCTTCTATAGTGATAGATAAGTGGTAACCCCAAACAAGGCTTGACCCACACTTCCGTTTGGTCCTTCTAGGCATGGATTTCCCTGCTGCTTTCCCTGGGGAAACCCACTGTTTACTGCTGAATTGGAGCAAATGTCCATTGGGTTTCCAGCGAATTGATGTTTGCTCTGATTCAGCGTTAAACGGCAGATTTTCCCAGGGAAAGCGGTGGCACAAAAGAAAAACATCTTGGACTCATGCCTAGAAGCCATGGACTATACAGAATAAATTGTGGGGCAAAGGGAACTGCAGGTGAGCCCTGGAGAGGATTCACCTGAAGTAGGTGAATGTGTTGCATATACACGTGGTTTGACCTGACTTGCCTAATATGTGTAGGCTGGACTGAGGTATTAGAAGAGATAAAATCTCAAAGAACCTCCTGTGGTTCACTTAATGTACAGGGTTTGGCCTGTTGTGCAAAGGCCTCTTATTTCTTAATTATCATTGTGACCAACATTCTCCTCACGCCAAATTAGCAATGGCGAATAATGATCTGCGCAATGCCTAAGCAGAATACCTCTCCCAGTGGTGACTCTTGTCTTGTAGCACAGAAGACAGAAGCAGTTTGTCTACAATGGCAGCTTGGCAAAAGTCATAAAACTACTCCAGTTTGAATGCTGCCTTAGGCTGCAACCCTAAGCACACGTACCTCTGCTTAAGTCCTATACATCCCAGAAGAATTTGTTTCCAGGTAGACATGCAGAGGATCGTGCTATAAGTAATCCCATACACAAAGAGTACTCCCACAAACACAGATTATTCAATTGGTTCTCTCCCACCAACAGTTGCCAAACAATTGCATACCTGTACATAGGTTTTGTAACCATTTGCCAACGAAGTGAAATTTATTGCTCAAGATACCGTGTGAAGCTTTCCTAAATCAACTAGGAAAAACAAACGCCTGCACATTTTCTTTTGCATAATTTATGCTTCCTATTTAAATGAGATTTTCAGTGTAGAGTACCAAAAGAAGCAATTTCTTTTTACCTTGCCACAAGAAGCACAATCTTTCATAACCAGGGGAGAGGGAGAGGTTTGATCAGATTCACCCTGCAAGTAACTTCCTAATCCAGGTGCACAGCTATTTCTTTTCTCCTTTTTTGACCTTTTATGTTTTGCTTGATATCTCAAAGGTTTTACAATGCTAATACAAAAACATTTTGCAATAAAATAAAATAAATCAGAAAAAATAATAAAAAGGAGAAAATAAACACCACTCTCATTAACACTGAACAATACAAAAGAAAAATACGGGGCTCTTTAACATTACCAGAACTACTTTGATTCTTTTACACTTAAATAAATTCAGCTGAATATACAGCATTAGGCCACTCCTAACAAGGAGTGTGGGGTTGTGTTTTCTTGTACCTTGTTACCCAGTATATAATTAAACACACACACACACACACACACACACACGTGTGTGTGTTTCTTGCAAAATGATCATACAGTCGTACCTTGGTTGTCAAATGCCTTGGTGCTCGTACTTTTTGGCTCCTGAACACCGCAAACCTGGAAGTGAGTGTTCTGGTTGGTTAACGTTCTTTGTTCTTTGTTTGGGGAAACCCAGCCAGATGGGCAGGGTACAAATAATAAATTATTATTATTATTATTATTACCCGAACGTCCGACTCGGCTTCCACGGCTTCCAATTGAGTGCAGGAAGCTCCTGCAGCCAATCAGAAGCTGCACCTTGGTTTTCGAATGTTTTTGGAAGTCGAACGGACTTCCGAAACGGATTCTGTTCGAGAACCAAGGTACTGCTGTAATCCTGTCTGCCTTCTCTCACACAAACCATATTAGTTAATTTGCCGATACAGGAAACATCCTTTACTTTATTTAACCAGTCATTTGGCTTCAGAGGGAAGTTTGACCATATGAGAGCCATTAGGGTAGAGTTATTCAAGTATCAAGACATGAACTTGAGAGGTCCATGTTCAAATTTACACTAGCCATAGGGCCGACTGAGTGACTTTGGGCCAGTTACTATCTCTTAGTTTACACCACTTCCCATGGTTGTTAAGAGGGGGGGGAGGGGAGGGGAATTATGGGAGCTGCCTATGCATTTGCAACTTGTTTTTATTGCAGCACCCTAAACAGTATGATTAAATGCTCCCCACTTCCCTGAACAGTGATTTCCTGTAATTAAGAAGAGCACTGAAAACTTGTGTTGTCTTTGTTTACAAATACTGTATACAAGTTGGACCCAAATGAAAGAAAGGTTCCTTAAAGCAGCCAGAATACCACTGATGCCATTTCAGATTCTCATAGATGGAGAAAGAGCACACAAAATAGACTCCAGTACTAGCTGGCTCTTAAGAAAAGCATTATTCCTCAATGTCAAATTATATGAAGTTAAAGAGAAACATCATTCTTCATAGATACTAAGCCTGCAGATAAAGAAATTTAATTGGTATGGTCAAAGATCCTAAGCTTCTCTTGCTACGTACTCAAAAGTTTTTTTCCTAATATTTTTCCACTTCCCTGCTGGAATACAGAATGACTCTGTATATTTATTAAATACTAGTTTCCTTTGCCATATGTATTTTATTATAAATTTGTTGGATGTGCAGTATCTTCTTCTGTGTAGGATCTGTTGTTCTAGTATGAAAGCTAAACATGGCTTGTTTAACTGCACTTGGTTCTCTTTTCTTTCTCCAAATGTTCATTGCCTCTTATTCTGACTTGATCTGAGTAACTGCATTTTTATTCCACCCTTCCTCCAAGGAAATAGATGCCACCCCACTTCCTGAAAACAACTTGCGAGATACATTAGACCAAAAGATCATAAGCAATTGAGTTCACCCAGCAAGTTTTGTGGCTGACTGCAGGTTTGCCTCCCTGTTCATCATCCATTACACTAAACATTGTGTCACACTGACTGGTTGGCCTGGAGCCAAACAGGAAAAGGAGGAAAAGAGGGAAGAGTGTGTCAGAACAAAGAACCAAATTGTCATGTTCTAATCTGATGCCTGATCTCATGGAGGCCAGGCTGTTCACAAGTTACAGGACCACGGATAGCTCCAAGTGAATTACTTGCCCTGGCAAAAGTTGGGAGCAGACTGATATCCTTTAAACTTCTGGGCTCATCCAGACTTCCACTTGCACCACTTTCCCCCAGGGAAACCTGATCTTTACCACTGATCTTTACCAAACATCATCTGAGTTTTCCACGGATTGATGTTTGCTCCAAAAGTTGCTCAGGCCCATGCTCTCTCCATGGAAGTGTGGAGGAGCCCTCTGCCAACTTCCTCTAGGAGCCACCCGCTTGCAGAGAACTTCAGAGCTTTAAAGGCCAAATCCTCTGGCCTCAAGACTGCTACTCCTTCTCCATTCCACAGCACTCCCTGTGCTGCTAGACTGGTGAAGTGTAGTGGGAGGCATCTGATTCTTCAGGGGAAGATGCCAAGAAAGGTCCCTACGGACCCTAGTGGTCCAGAGGTTCTTCTGGAGGCCCCTGTCCAACAGCCTCAGTTACAATGGTCTCTTGGTATCTGGCAGCCAGCTTAGAACCCTGAACTTCATCCGACTCCTCAGCTGGTGCCTCTGCAGCCTCCAGTTATATGTGTGGATTACTGCTGGATTCAGGAGCCATGACAAAAGTAACTTCTACAAAGAGCAAATAATTAAGCTGTGGAATTCAGTGCCACCAGATGGCTCTAAAAGGGGATTAGACACTCATGGGGGGATAAAGCTTCTAGACAAGGTGGCTACTGCCTCCAGGTACTGGAGGCAGAGAATGCCTTTAAATATAAGGTGCTGAGGATCATGGGTGGGGGCATTGTTGCACTCATGGGTCTTAAGCACAGTGGCATTTTAATAGGCTTCTGGCCACCCAGGATACACGGATGGGCACATCTAATCACATGGAAAGTCCCATTGTTTACAGTATAACACTCCTTTGTCTTTTCTTTTCAATTATTAATTTGTTGCATATACATTACATCTCCCTGTTTTATTATTTATTGGTCACCTAAAACTGGTGGGAAATTTAAAGTGGCTGCTTCATTTCATCTTTTGAAATGAATCATCAGTTATGGTCAGCCATCATGCTCCAGTACAATAAGAATACTTAAATTTCTGTAATCGAAAACCCTGTTCAATTGATTTTTAAATACAGTAATGTGTTTTGAAGGAGGCTTTTAGACAGGGAGGGAAAAGAAACACTAGATAAACCAAAGGAATTGCTCCATACTGCCAGTCACAGATAACAGGCCTGTTTCATTCAGCTTTTTGGTGTATCTGTTTATCAAGGGCAAGAGAAGCTTACATGAGTGATTTAATGAGCATTCATCATGATTTGTGAGATTAGACAATGTTGCATCAAGCATTATCCCACACTTTCCAGTGCATACTCCCTTGTCACAAAAAGTCTTATCTTTTGGGAAAGAGGCTTTGTTGCAAAAGGGCTCAAAATCAGCTTTAATTGTGCAGCCTGAATTTTCCAGGATGGGTCTGGATCCCACCCCAAAGTAATGGCAGTCTGGAAGTGCTCTAAAAATCATGACCACACCATCATTCCACACCATCTGGCATGGAAAAAACAGGCCCTTTATCTCACAAAGGTCAAGCATATACCAGTCAATTTAATAACCCACAGAATGACATTGTGCTGTACATAGTAATTTGCATTAAAATGTACAACACAATGTCATTATATGGGTTAATTATTATAGAACAAGCAATATTTTTTGGGTTTTTTAAAGTAAATTGTTTAGTTGATGTATATTTAAGGACTCACACTAACTTGTTTGTTAAAAAAATAAATCTATGCTCTAGTACTGAAGTGTGTCTTGTCCCCTTGGGTCCTTTTCGTTTACTGTTGTCAGAAGTTACAGCCCAGTTACAGGAAAAGCAGAACCAAGTCCTACTGTATTCAATGGGCTGCCCACAAATGAGGCTACAGATCTTTGTGTCTGTTAATGGATGCATCGCGACATGTTGCTTTAAATCAATTTTCACTGCGCCTAAATCTATGGCTTTTGTGCACGCCTCTATAACATCAGCCTCTTGCCTTCTCCCCCGTCAATGTTCATGCACAGGAGCTGACATCGAGAGACCTCCAAGGTAAGCCTAAGGAGATCGAATTACCAGTGAGAGGAGGACAGCTCCGCGGAGAGAGCAGAAGGGATCCCTTTTCTTGGCCAGGGTTTCGCCTAGTATTCAGAGAAAGTGACAGATGGGAAGGCAGGCAGGCAAGGGGGGGGGGGAGGAGGGAGGGAGGGCTCACGCGGCGGCGGCGGGGGCGGGGCATCCCCGGCTTTAGCAATTAATCGGTGCGCCCGGAGAGCTGAAAGGCACTGCAGCCTATGCCTTGCGTCGGGGGCATCAATCATTCAACCGGCGCGCGGCACCGAGGGCGCAGTTGGGAAAGGGGAAACTTTCCCCGCAGATGATTTAAGAAACCGAAGCCGCGGCGCAAGCGGGTGGGGAGTCTGGCTGAGCTATAGAAATTGACCCAGGCGTGCCTGGCCGGGCTTGAATTACCGCGGCGATGCGCCTGCCGTTTCTCCCTGCAGGAGCTGCTGCTGCGCGCTGGCTGGGGGCGAGCGAGGCTGCTGCTGCTGCTGCCTGCCTCCTGCCCTTGCTGCAATGAATGATGCGGGAAGAAGAGGAGGAGGAGGAGGAGGAGGCGGTGGCCGCCGGCGCTGCTCGGGCGAAGCACAAATCCACCGCAACTCCTCCAGTAGCAGCAGCAGCAGCAGCAAGGAAAGCGGCTTTGCCTTGGTGAGCTTACATCACAATCCCGGCTCGGGCTGCTGTTTCTCTAAGCGGCACGCAGCAGCAGACGGCCGGCCTCTCCTCCAGCCCCACGCCGGGGAGCCGTCGAGGGAGGAGGGCGCCAGGATGCCCGCGGTCGGCGGATCCGACGAGGGCCAGGCGCCCCCTGGAGCCGCGCCGTCGCCCAAGCCTGCCCGCTCCTTGGGCCGGCCGCCGTCTCGTCGGGAAGGCGGCCCCGGCCCGCTGCTGCGCTGGGACGAGGTCCCCGACGACTTCGTGGAGTGCTTCATCCTGTCGGGCTACCGGCGCCTGCACTGCACGGCGCAGGAGTGCCTGGCGTCGGTGCTGCAGCCCACCAACGAGACGCTCAACTTCTGGACGCACTTCGTGCCGCTGCTGCTCTTCGCCGCCAAGTTCTGCCGCCTGCTGCTGCTGCGCGGCGCCGGCGACGTGCCCTTCCACCACCCGGCGCTGCTGCCGCTCTGGTGCTACGCGTCGGGCGTGCTGCTCACCTTCGCCATGAGCTGCACGGCCCATGTGTTCAGCTGCCTGTCGCTGCGCCTGCGCGCCGCCTTCTTCTACTTGGACTACGCCTCCATCAGCTACTACGGCTTCGCCAGCACCGTGGCCTACTACTACTACCTGCTGCCGGGCCTCAGCCTGCTGGAGCCCCGCGCGCTCAGCCGCTACCTGCAGCAGCGCCTGGGCTGGCACGTGGACTGCAGCGCGCCGCTGGCCGCCTACAGCGCGCTGGTGCTGCCCGTGGCCTTCGCGCTGGCCGTGGCCTGCACCGTGGCCTGCTGCAAGAGCCGCTCCGAGTTCTGCGCCTACCCCTTCGCCATCCGCACCTTCGTCTTCGTCATGCCGCTCAGCATGGCCTGCCCCATCATGCTGGAGAGCCTCCTCTTCGACCTGCAGGGCCACAACCCCACGCTCTTCGTCCACTTCTACCGCCGCTACTTCTGGCTCCTGGTGGCCGCCTTCTTCAACGTCAGCAAGATCCCCGAGCGCATCCAGCCGGGCCTCTTCGACATCATCGGCCACAGCCACCAGCTCTTCCACATCTTCACCTTCCTCAGCATCTACGACCAGCTCTTCTACGTCGAGGAGGGCCTGCAGCAGTTCCTGCAAGGGCACGCGCCCGCCTCGCCCACCTTCGCGGGCACGGTGGGCTACATGCTGCTCTTGATACTGTGCCTGGGCCTGGTCATCAGGAAGTTTCTCAACGTCCCGGAAGCCTGCAAACACGATTGAGGTAGCCTCCCCTTACGGTTTCTGTTGCAGGTCTCCATTTAAATCGCCCGGAGGGTATTTTTTAAAAAAATATTTTATTTTGCTGGCTTGCCGCAGAAAAACTCAAGGAGGTTAACTCTCTAAGAAGCCCTGGTACCTTTCAGAGAAAGGTGCTAAGAAGAGCACTGAATTCGTCCAAATCAAGCACTGAACTCCTTAAGGGGAAAGGAACACTTCTGTTTCTCTGGAAACAAATTTAGATTTTAGGAAAAAGGCGCTCGAGCCGCATCACTGTATACAACTTACTCTTATTTATTGCTGCTTAGGATACAAAGAAAAGCCATTTAGGACCCTTTCTTGAACTCTCCTACAATTTGATCCTCAGTAAATTTTTTGAAAGCAAGCCGCACCGTCTTACTTTCAACTAATGTGCCTAGGATCAAGGTTTCAGGGGAACAATATGCATGGACCATATGAATGCTATCTACTGATTTCAGACTGTCTAGGAGATGTTATTTCAATTAGCAATATATGCTAGGCCTGCACTGACGAACTGTTGAGATTTAAAACCAGATAATGCACATGATGCACTCAAGGATGTGTGTGTGCATTTTCTGTTAAAGTATTTTGAAGTCATATGCACTGGAACTTGGTTTTCAACACAAGCAGATTGAGTTCTGTTTCTTTTTGCATTAACTTGCCTTGGTCCCAAGGCAAATGCAGTACTTAAAACTTCTGTATAGAAATACCTTGAAGTAACTGTGAACTATAGTGGAACTGGGTTATCATTTGATCAGAAGCTGTTGGTTAAACCGTGAGAAACAAAAGATGAGCAGGGAACATATCCACCCCAACCTCTACACATAAAGCCCGTCTCTTGCAAAATGCTTTATACAGTCGTACCTTTATACAGAACGCCTTGTGAGTCTAATGTTTTGGCTCCCAAACGATCGAAACTCGGAAGTGACTGTTCCGGTTTTCAAACGTTCTTTTGGAAGCCGAAAATCTGACGGGGCTTCCCTGGCTTCCGATTGGCTGCAGGGGCTTCCTGCAGCCAATCAGAAGCTGCACTTTGGTTTTCGAATGTTTTGTAAGTCGAACAGACTTCCGGAACGGATTCCATTTGACTTCCAAGGTACGACTGTACTCTGGTTCTGGTGCCCATTTACAAAATAAGCATCTATTGTCAGTTGTGAAGGGTTCACATTTATATAAATGGCACGTAAGTATAGCTGAAGGAGTTGTTCACTTTAGAACTAACATAGTTTCAGAACATCCTAGAAAAAGTAGCACTAAATACAGGACCAAATCACCAGTGAGTTTATTAATGTGTCAGAATATGATTGCACTATTAGTTATCCTGGCATAACAGCCACAGAACAAACTTTCTGATTTGCTTACATACATACATGTAAGCCCAGGGGAGTATGGCAGAGTTGAGCTGAAAAGGAGCTTTACAACAATCCAATGGCAAGTTCTTTTATCACCTCCTGTGCTATATGATAGTGGCAGGGTTGTTACACCTCTTGGTCAAGTGTTCATGAAAGATGCTGAAAATTTTATGTTCACGTTAATAGCAACTGTTATCTCAGGACTATAACTCGGGGGGGGGGGGGGAGAGACTACTTCTGAATTTTGGTTGTGTAAACAAATCATCGGAAAAACTTATGAAAATAAAAGCTCAGAGGCACAGAGAGAAAATCCGCAACTGTACTGTTTCAGGAGAGTTGTGGAAGTAAACAAAGCACTAGTCCATGATTCCTATTTTTAAGAAGAAAAACCAACATTTAGAAACCTACAATAATAAGCTTTTATGGACTAGAACCCATTTCATCAGGTGCATGAAGTGTTTCCTCAGTTGGAATAACACACACACACACACAAACTGGGAACAGTGATGGGATCATAAGCAGCACAGCAAAGAACAACCTGAATTATGGACAAGACATGCTGTGCCATTTCTGTGCAAACTCAGCACAGTGACCACTCACAATGCCAGTAATTGATTATAATCTTCTTAGCTTTCCTGTGCTAATTTGAATACCCATAGTGTGGGAGAGAACCTTGGGTACAGTCAAGCCCTAAATGAATAAAATCAGACTCTTACAAGCAATTATAGTTTGGCAGTTTTACACCGGGGGCTCCTATTGAAGTTGTTCTGTTCATCAGCTGTCTGTTCATCAACAACGGTGTCCTGGGTGATTTATTTATTTGTTTCTTTATGCTTTTGATCATTGTGATTCTCAAAGAACGGATACAGTTTTAAAACATTAACAGCACAACTACAATCATAAAAGTGCCACCGGTGAGGAACAATTAAACAACTAAGCCGAACAAATAACAAAACACTTGTCTAAAGAGGAAGGTCCTAATTGTCTGCTTAAAGGGGGCAAGCTTCCAGAAGAGAGGATTGGAATGTTCTCTCCCTGGTTTGTGAGCGTCCCCGTTTTTTGTGTCAGATTTGTGTCTGTTCCAGTTTGTCCCAGGTAGACAGCAAAAAGACATTGCTTGCAGGTCACTGCATATATCTAATTTGGAGAGGAGCAGGTGAATGAGTCCCTGACAGAGTGGCCTTGTGTAATGTTGTTACCTTGTTGTTGGGTAATGTTAGATTGTGTAATGTTGTTACCTTAAACTGATATAGTCTAGGTTTGTTGCAGAGTCTGGTTCCTCAGGTGTGTGTCTCACTAGTTGTCCTGTTGCTGGTAAGGGAACTCTTAGAGATCAAGCCAGCCACAGGACCTATGAAAAGGAATATCATTGCCCGACGTGGTCATCCATAATCTTGCAGGCCTTTGGGTAGAGGCCTCTCCTTGCTTACAAACAAACACCCGTTTGCTGTCTTGCCTAACACAAACAGGTCAGTCTTTTGCCCAAAGTCTGTGTACATCAGACATTAAAAAGAAAACAGCAGAACATTTCACTCTCCCAGAACACACTGCTGCTTACAGGAAAATCACTGCACTCCAAAACCAAAGGGAGTTTTCCAAGGGAGGTTCCAGCACGGAAATGCCAAATTTGAATATATAAGCAATTTGAATCAATTATTTTAAGAGTCAAATTGGAAACAAATCTTTCTCTTCCACTCTGGGCTTTGAATTAGCATAGCAAAGCACAGAGCATTACTGCAGTTGGGAGTGGTCACGGTGCTTATTTTGCATACACCTGAGCTTTTCATGGAAACATTACTGACTGTTGAATTTCATGGCCTTTGGGCTCCACTGTTTACTACTTTGCACCCTCTATACCTCCGGGTATGACTGTAGAAAAATCTACCAACTGAAGATACCTCTTTATGTGTGTGATGATGGGTTCCAGTTCACAAAACCTTATGCTACAATATACCTGTTAGTCTTTTTGATGCCACAATACTAAATTATTTTTATTTTTTACTATAATGAACTAGCACAGCTACCCCTCTGTTGATCCATAATCCTACATAAGAACGTAAAAAAAGCCCTGCTGGATCAGGCCAAAGGCCCATCTAGTCCACTATCGCGTTCTCTCAATGGTCAACTAGATCCCTAGGGGATGCACAACAACACTCTCTCCCCTCTTGTAATTTCCACCAACTCATATTCAGACTCCCATATTGACAACATAGCCATTTTGGTTAGTAGGCACTGATAAGTAGCCTTATGTAGTGGTGGCCTTGAATTTCAATAGCAGAAACAACACGTATTGTGGGTTGGCCTAAATTGAATACTTTAAAATGTAAGGAAAACATCAGGATCAACTTGGAAGAGTGAACTATTTGTCAGAAACTTAGGTGAAGTAAAATTGTCATTCTATACTCTTTCTCTGTTCCTCTGCTATTTCCTAATTCAACATTGTGCAATCATAGATGGGCATTAAGAGTCACCTAATTTCAGGATAATCCGAAGGTGGTGTTTTTTTAGGTGACTCTGTTTTTTCAGTTTCCTGTTAGATGTATGGATAAAGAGCACCCCCACCCCCTTAATGAATAAGAGAATGAATAAATTCTAGAGCAGTTCAGGGTATTTCACTTCAAAAGTTGTTCTGTGATGAACAGTTGCTTTTATTCTTGACCAGACATTCTGTCAGTACTCATATTATTTTAAGGCTGTAAGCAAGGCAGTATTTTTTCCAGAGGGGGAGATAACATTTTAAGGCTGTAAGCAAGGCAGTATTTTTTCCAGAGGGTTCCAGAGATAACATAATCCGAGCAAATCGTGACAGTAATTGTCATGACATAGTGGTATGGTACTATATAATGCAAGGATGAAGTTTATGTGGCAAACCATTTAGGTGGCAAACCATTGGTTTTCTCCACTGGAAATAAATGGTATCATTTGTTAGTGGATTGTTCCTGGTTTGATTTGAAACATAGGTACTCTTCTCTTAGATCATCAAAACACAAATAAGACCAGAACACTGAGGCCCTCCCATGCAGATAGAGTGGTTGGGTTCTGCTTAATAAGCCAAGATGAACACGTTTTTTGCCTACGCCTGCAGCAGAGCAAGCAAACAAACCAGGAACTCTTTGGCCAACCATAGTTTCCCATTTAATCCAAACTGGGAAGCTATGGTTGCCGGCTTCCAGGATATTAAACCATAATTTGAAGTTGGTTTAATATCCTGACTTGTTCTGCAGCAAATAATCATTGTTTTCAGGTTTGGGCAAAATGGGAAACTATGAATAATTACAGGGCTCCTGGTTTAGTTGTGTGTCATGAAAAGCTAGGAGCAGAGGGGAAAGGATTGTTCATATTGTGGATAATTGAGCTGAGATTTATTTATTATAATTTATATTTGTTTATTAAATTGTATACTGCCCTTCATCTGAAGATCAGAGGGTGGTTCACAACATAAAAATACAAAATGAGAACACAAATAACACATAATAAAACAAGAACACAGAAATCAAAGGAATAACCTTTCTCCCATAAACACATTTAAAAGGCCATAGAATGTTTAATCAGCCAAAGGCCTATTTATAAAGAAACATTTTCGCCTGGTGACTGAATGATTATCAGCACCGGATTAATCCTTAACCATGGTTATGTTTTCCTTAACCATGGCTACTGTTACATTTTAATACATTAGGATTTTTTTTATATAAAAAAATTAAATGTGCATATATATATCCCACTGTTCAACTCTAATGAAGTTTCTAGAGCAGCTAACAGAGAGTACCACCAACTACTGAAAATTACAGTCATCACATTAAAACAACAAATAGCAGGCCATGAGTCGAATGACAGGTGTTAAAACCAATTTAAAACACCAAGCCCAGTAAGATAACACAGGTATCAGTACAATTATAGATTAAGTATCGGCCACAAACTAGAATGTGAAACCACAGTTTGGTACACATTTTGTGGTCTTAACCTTCATTCGTCTCAATTATGGCTAAGCATTATGTGAAAAGAAAAAAAGGGCCTGGCTGGGGAAATACATGTTTATTGCACAATATGCAGTATATCAACATTTTGTTTCTCTTTAGCTAAGTCTGCCCAGCCTGTGACTTTGTATAGTTTCATACGCTTCTCTTCTCCAAATGAGGAGCAGCTGCAGGTTTTAACCTTTTATTGTATTCTGCACATATTCTGCGTATACGGCACAGTGAATCTGACATGGGCTTGCTAAAAATAAATGTTGTTGTTGGGGTGAAATTCATCCAGAACAACATAATTGTTTTAATGATTTGCCCCCAAAATGACTCACCCAGCCTTCAAAATAAATAATTTATCCGAAGCATTTCTCCAGGAGAGGCCATTAGAGCATCGAGTTCGGCAATTAAGAAATGCACTGGAAAATGGAAAAGTCAAGGAGTTAACACTCTCACTGCTATGAGAAACCTCAGAGTCCAATTTAAATGTGAAAAGAGGTTTATACAGTGTAATGAGTGGCGGGTGGGTTTTTTGTTTTGCTTTTTGTGCTTACTAGTTACATCGTAAGGGGCATCCTGCAAAGCAATGTCAGAAAGGCCGTGGCGAACGGTAAAAATACATTTGATATTTAGACCATGTGATGGCTTCTATATATATCTCAATTACAGATAAAAGCTTATGGTGCTGATATGATGTTAGCTGTTCTTACAGCTTCTTACTTTCCACCTAGAGACCTAATAGCCTTTTTCCTAGTCGGGAATTGTTCCATGACCCATGGATATGAAGCATGCTAACCATCCCAAGTCCACCTAAGGAGTCAGTTGTTACTTGTGGTTGCTTACATGTGTTTTACTGGATCTATCAGAGGGCAAATATTTGTTTAGAAATCTTTATATGCTGCCCTTTACCTCATTTGAATTTCAGGGCAGTGTAAACCCAATTTATATCATAACAAGAAATAATAAGACAGCCGATAAAATAGATCACCGTTTTTTAATTGAAAATCATTGCTAAGGCTATCTGTGCTTCAGATATCGATTGCCACATTTCTGTGCAGGATTTCTAGGGTGCAAGTATTTGAATGCTTGCTTTTAGCCCTGTAGAAGGGCACCTATAGCAAAGACGGCATAGTTTGCTAATTGATGATTTATCGTCCGTAAATATGGAGAGAAAGCTTCTATAATATGAAGGTCCATCATTTTCTTTCTGTTTTTCAGTCAGTGGCAAAATCTATGCTACGTTATTTGTGAGCAAGAGGCAACTCCAGGTAGCTAAGAGGGCATGACACCATTCATTATATCCGTAGACATATTCCATGTCCAGACACCAACTCTGCCACTGAGGGCTGTTTAGGGAAGAGATTTGTACAAAGCTTTGAATATTTCTTCCTTTCTGGAATGTGTCTGGATTCAACACCTTTCTCTAAAACATTGTAGGGGAATGGGATGGCCATTGTTCATTGGTATTTGAGCAATGGACCCCCTTTGTGGAAGATTCCGTAACAGACCAGGGGTAGGAATTCTCAGATCCAGGGACCAGCCCTACAAGCCTATTTAGCCCTCAGGGCTCCTCCCCCAGGTGACACACCCTCCCCTGACACGCCTCCTCTTCCCAGGCCACACCCCTTACTAGCCCTGCTTCACACCAGCCTCAGGTGTTTTGCTGGAATGTGATCTTGAACTCTGACCATGACCCCTTGTTTGTCTGGATGGAAGATAGAAAGGTGTACGAGTGCAGAAACTAGCCTACTGCATAAAGTTAAAACTTACAGTTGCTGCCCTGCCCGCTTTTGCCTCTGGGCTGGCTTGAGGCCCCTGGAAGGTTTCCCAGAACAGAATGTGGCCCTCAAGCCATACAAGGCTTACAAATGTGTTTCGTAAAATAGTGCGCCAGTGGATGTTATCCTGAAAGCATCTTTTGTTGTCGTTTAGTCGTGTCCGACTCTTTGTGACCCCATGGACCAGAGCATGCCAGGCACTTCTGTCTTCCACTGCCTCCCGCAGTTTGGTCAAACTCATGCTGGTAGCTTCGAGAACACTATCCAACCATCTCATCCTCTGTCGTCCCCTTCTCCTTGTGCCCTCCATCTTTCCCAACATCAGGGTCTTTTCCAGGGAGTCTTCTCTTCTCATGAGGTGGCCAAAGTACTGGCGCCTCAGCTTCAGGACCTGTCCTTCCAGCGAGCACTCAGGGCTGATTTCCTTCAGAATGGATAGGTTTGATCTTCTTGCAGCCCATGGGACTCTCAAGAGTCTCCTCCAGCACCATAATTCAAAAGCATCAATTCTTCGGCGATCGGCATCTTTATACACACTTATAAAGGGCAGGTGCTGTGCATACCAAGGGAAACCTGCTGGCTTTGGAAAAACATTTTGTTTGAGATATATATGCCACAAAAAATAGTGATTTCTACAGAGAACATAATGTTTCCAGTTGCTGCAGAACATGTTCGGGTCTCAGTTTGTTTATTTTTCATCCCAAATTGACCATACTAGATGTTATAGAATGTCTGAAAGTGGGGCCGGAAGTACATTCATTTGTATGTCAGTTGTACCTACCTAAGAGTGCAGCTAAAAGTGCACTTCAAAGCATTTGTTCACCATCATTATTATTCATTAAATTTGTATACTGCTGTACAGTGGTGCCTCGCAAGACGAAATTAATCCGTTCCACGAGAGTCTTCGTCTAGCGGTTTTTTAGTCTTGCGAAGCAAGCCCATTGACGGATTAGCGCTATTAGCGCTATTAGCGGTTTAGCGGCTATTAAAGGCTTAAAGGCTTAGGGGATTAGCTGCTAAAAGGCTATTAAAGGCTATTAAAGGCTTAGCAGATTAGATAAAGGGGGGGGAAAGCGGGAAAAAAATCTCAAGACTCGCAAGATATTTTCGTCTTGCGAAGCAAGCCCATAGGGGAATTCGTCCTGCGAAGCAACTTCAAAACGGAAAACCCTTTCGTCTAGCGGTTTTTCCATCTTGCGAGGCATTCGTCTTGCGGGGCACCACTGTATACTCGTAGGTCTCGGGGCGGTTCACAACACATTTATTCAGAATTAGATTCCTTGAAATCAGTGGGATTTGCTTCTGAGCGAGAACATCAAGGATTATTGTGGCACCCTAAAGACTAACAAATTTATTACGGCATAAATTTTCAAGGACCACAGTCCATTTCATCAGCTGCACTTTTTCAAAAAAAGGTATCCTTAGGACTGGCATCAAAATATTCATCCCTTTCTGAGGCTAACATTTTCAAGTTGAGAGGCCACAGAAAAGGTTGTGAATCCACAATTCTCCATGTTTAATATGTAGAAATGGAGCAGGCAGACCAAAAATGTTACCGTTCTGCCTTACTCATGTTGAGCTTCTAGTTTCTCATGTTCAGACTACCACCTAGTTAGCCATTCCAACAGAACTGTAACTTGACTATTTTCTGTGTTTGAATCAGTAAAAGCCATCTTAGTATAGTATTCCTCCTGGCAAAATTGTACGGGGACGTTGTACTTTGAAACTAGCTAAAATCATCTGGTTGTTGTCCACATGCCTTACAGCAGGATGTTGTTGGGTGACTCCAACTCCCATCAGCCCCAGCCAATGTGGCTAGTGGTCAGGGACGATGGGAATTGTAGTCCAACAATATCTGGAGGATCACAGGCTGCACACCCCGGCCTTACAAGCAAGGCGTCATGCACACAGTAATTGCCCAATTATGCACGTTACAGTTTCCTGCTTAAGTTGTTGGAGCACAGAGCTGAGAATTAAAGTTAAAGATTCTAATTCCAGTTTGGTTGCCAGCAGTCAGTATAGTCATTCACAAGTTTTTCATAAGAAGAAAATGTAATTAAGAACTTCACCATAAACACTAGGGACACAATCTGGTTCAACCATGGACAGAAAGCAGAACAGAGAGCCTGGAGCCCTCCAGGTGTGTTAGAATGCAACACCCATCTGCTTTGCCAGCATGGCTAATGGTCAGAGGTGATGGGAGTTGTCGTCCAACAAGGTCAGGAAGGCCACAGGTTCCTCATTCTTGGTGTAGAGCTTTGGAAGTCCCCTGTCCTTGCCTATATTTCAGGTAGCAGACTGAAAGTTATTACAGACAGTAATAACTATGGCGTTCTCTATATTGCTACTCATCCAGCTCCATTCATTGCAACTTACATCGCTGCATAATGTGTGTATGTGGGGAGGGGAAAACAGGGCTTATTTGAGTCTTGGGTATCTTCCAGGTGCTGATGCCATGTTGGGGCACTGTGGTTGTGGCTTTGTGGTGCAATCCACCAAAATTCGGCACTTTTTAAAGTGCCACCGATTTCAAGCACATGCTTGATTAACACTCAGAGAAATAAACAGTATGTTGTAGTGCTTAACTTTGTCTGGATTGCTCACGTTTTTGAAATGCAGTTTTGTTGTCCTCACTGGGGAATTAAGATCCCCCTACCCAAATTAAGTTCCATTGATTGTGCATAGGAATGAACCATTTAGTCAACAGGATTATGCCAGACATGTATTCAGTCATCCTCCTCTCTTACTCCACCTATAAAATGGGGATTATTTGCTTAACTACCTCATCAGAAATGTTTATGAGTGTCTTCGAAACACTTTGAAAGCAATGCAGAAAGAACTAGTGGAGTGTTTGACACTAAGAGTGTTGTTTACTTCTGGTGGTTCATTTTCTCATCTGTAGAAGTAGCATTTATGCCTGTAAGATTTAAACAACAAACAAACAAACACTTGCAAACCCTTCCACTTGTGGTTCAGCTTCTGTTTCAAAAATTCAGAAATGATCTTAGGGGTAAACCTTATTGAATTCAATGGGACTTAGTTCTGAGTAGACATGGTTAGGATTGCACTGCAAATTCTCATTGTCTTTACCAAAAGCCTTACCCAGGTATGGTGTGAACAGCAAAGTGTCTTTACAACAGAATACAGAATTGCAAGAGAGGGGTAAGGCAAACATGTTTCTTTTGAAAATATTTATTGCTTTGCCCGGAATTTACCTTTAGTACATGCTTAGAAACAAGTCACCGTCTGTCCTGCCGTCTGCCAGTGAAAATAAATAGGGAAAATTCTCATTGGTTTTATATTGTTGTATTTGTTTTGGTACAACGCTGGTACAGTGTTGGTTCACCTTTCAGAGTGAAACGCAAGGTACAGTTACACACTGAAATGACTGCAATGTTCCCCAGATGTAATAATGTTACTTCAGAGAAAATTATTCACAGTCCAGTGGGGCTGACTCCCAGGTAAGTGGGGACAAAATTGTAGCTTCAAAGACTCTATCCCTTTCCCAACCCTCGTGGTCCTCCTTTTGAAACTACTTTTCTGAATGGTACATCTGAGTAGGTGAGACAGACAAAATATATCTAGGGACTTACTCGATGAGTGGTGGTAATCAGATCTGGATATATTTGAAGGGCAGTCTGTGCTTCAGCCAGTTTAAAGAGAAAGAGTTTGGATTAAAGCCAGTTAATTCTCAGTGACTTCCACTGGATATTTATATTATTTTATTCTTGGGTATTATGTAATTTATTTTTGCTGTCTTTGGTTTTTAAAGAGCCGGGGTGTGCCTGTAAGTACTTGATCTTATAAAAATGCAGATCTCTTTCTCTCCCATGTGTTGCTTGTTGATACAGCCTACTGAGAATTTTTCCTTCTCTGTCCTTCCGTTGGGAGCTGCCCAACATAACTTGCACAGAGTAAGAGAGATAACTCCAGCACCTATATATTCTTTAAGGCCAATTTTATTTTCAGAAGTTGTGGTATGTGTATCTCCCTAGAAAGATTGCTAATAGAGGCATAAACTGCAATCACACTTGCTGCAGAATGGGATTTTGGTTTTTAGAGTCAATTCAGAAGTGTAGCTGAATGTATTTACTTATTTACTCATTCACTCGTTCACAATATTTATATGCTGCCCAATAACAGAGTTTTCTGGATGGCTTTTAATAACAGTAAAATGCAAGTGCAAACAATAAAATATAAACCAGAACAAAATCAGTATAACAAATCCTCACCAAGAAATAAATTTTAGATTTTAAAATGTAAGAGTCGAAGGGCTAGGAAAATAAAAGGGTCTTGGCCCAAAAGGACCACAAAGTGAGCACTAGGCACGTCTTTCTGGGGAGACCATTCTACAGCCAGGATGCAAACTGCAAAAATAGCTGTTTTCCGCTGTTGTCACCCAATAATTTCGGGGGGGGGGTTAAAAAGAGGTGAGCCCAGATGAATATAGCTCACATGTTTGGAAGCACTCATATGTCAGCATCTCCCTGGAAGTAGAAACTCTCCCTTCAGTGGAAATGTTAAAATAAAAACAGCATATTTGAACAGGGTGCCTATTGCCCTGCCCTGGGGTAGGCTTGAGCTATTCATTGTCGAATTTTTGGAGACCTGGTGCAACATAGTTCAAAATATCAGGCACAGCAGGGGACTATGTGTATCTCACTTAAAAATAGGTTGATGTGCTGCTAATACAGGTACAGCTCACACACATGTGCACACCCAGGAGAGATGTGGCGGGCCCTCTGTTCACATAAGCAGGGACAGAGGAGGTGAAGCTTCTGCTGTCTAATACCACATCCAAGTAGCGTGTTCAGGTGGAACAAGAGCAGCCATTGAACAACTGCTTCCTTGGTGGCCTGCCATGGATTTGGGGCTATGCACCTTTTCCTTGCATGCCTTCTTTCCCTCTGCCTCCTTGCAGGGTGGCAAAAAAGAGGAGGGGAGGCGTGTCCCCAGAACTGGGCCAAATAAAGTTGCACTGTGTTTTTGAAGCTGGGAAGCTGAAATAAGAGACCTTCATTTAGCCACCTTCAAGAGCCTTAAATCAGGTTCCATGGAAACTACTTATAGTCTCCCTGGTTGATGGCTGCAATGGGAGGGGGGAAGTCCTTCTCCAGTCACTTTCCAGCCTCTCTTTATCAACCTTGCAGCTCTCCTCCCTTCTCCTTCCATCCCTTTTCTATTACAGGAGAGAGAAGAAGATATGTGTACCGTGTCAATGTCTGTTCATTTCTGGGGGGTTCTTGTCTGCTCCAATGGGCAACAATTTCCCCTGGGCTACCAGTGAAGGAACTCCATGGTTAAAGGGCCTATATTGTACATCCCACTATGAGTTCATCTTTCTGAGTTTGCTGCTGTATTTAAGAGTTTATTGAATGGAATATGTTAGGGATATCCTTGTACCTGCTGGTGTGTTGAGCACTTGTTCTCGCCACAGGGTTTTGTTAAGATGATGCCTGTGAAAATGAAGATAGCAAAGTGCAAGCGTTTATTTTAATCTTCTGTGTTTGCTTGTTTGCTTTTTAAATGATTTGTTCTTAAAAGTCTTGGTTGCTAATTATATTGTAAAATCAAGGTACTGTACATTTTTTGGCAGAAAGGGGGGGAAGTAAAGAAATCCAAATAAAACTGTTTCTGAAATCAGCTTTTAGATCAACTTGTGAAGTTTGCTTATGAACATTAGAACATCTTATGAACATCTGCTGAACCGCAGTTCCCACTGTTTCCCATGTTACATGTAAATGATGGCCTTCGCAGCTGTAACGATTCCATGCAATGTGTACATAAGTGTTCTCACTGCATTTTTACCGTCACTTAGACTCAGACTGTGATGCAATCTGGAAGATGTAATGGGTGTTAGTCATGCTCAGTGCAGACCCATTGAAATCAGTGGGACAAATCAGTCTTAGCTGATTTAAATCCCTTTGATTTCATTGTGCTCACTTTAAGCATGGCTCTCTCTGGATCTAGCCAGTATGAGCAAATAAAAAGGAAAACCATACGTCATTGAATTGAACAATTTTGAAACGTGTTAAGTTTCAAGAAGGCTACATTGTTGTAGAGATGAGCCTTGAATGCTTTGTCAGTGGTTTCATTTCAGTAGAATCAGCCTAGCTGGTCCTACAGTGATTATATTACAAGACAAAGTTAGGGCCCTATCATTTCTTCAGTGTCAGCACAACACAACACTGGACACCATATTCTTAATAATAAGTCCTTAGGACATGACTATATTCAGAAACGTTCTCTTTAGCTACCGTGGCTCAGGAAGATAGCAAAATCCCGACGATCATGTCATCAGGGCTTGGTTGCTTTAGGTAAAAAGGTAAGGTAAAGGACCCCTGGACAGTTAAGTCCAGTCAAAGCCGACCATGGGGTGCAGCGCTCATCTCGCTTCAGGCCGAGGCAGCCGGCATTTGTCCTCAGACAGCTTTCTGGGTCATGTGGCCAGCATGACTAAAGCGCTTCTGGTACAGTGGGACATCACGACGGAAGCCAGAGCGCACAGAAACGCCGTTTACTTTCCCGCCACAGCGATACCTATTTATCTACTCGCACTGGCATGCTTTCGAACTCCTAGGTTGGCAGAAGCTGGGACAGAGCAACGGGAGCTCACCACTGTCGCAGGGATTCGAACCATCAACCTTCCAATCGGCAAACCCAAGAAGCTCACTTTACACCAGAGGGTCACTGGTAAAGCATAACATTTTGCAAAATTCCGTACAGTATCATTCATCTTGTTGTGCAGAGACGTCTCTTTTCATTGCTTTGTTGCCAGTTGTTTCTTAGGAAGGATCCAACCTCCTTTTTAAGGAGTGATAAGGAGCTTGTTTTGATTTGTACCTATTATTGACAGTCATTGTGCTCAATTGACTGAACACTGGAGTCATAAGATGCCCTCCTAGGCTGTATATCAGTGCCACAGGCTTGCCAGAAGTCTGTGTCAGGAGCTTCTCCGCATTTCCTTGCAATCTCTATTGGTGTTCCTACTTGCAAAGCGCATGTAATCAGCACGTGAGTTTTCACCTAGTTGGAAGGCAGCCTGCCATATATTCCGTTTTATGTTTGCACCTGTCTTTCCAGCTCCTCCTTTTGGCTTTGGGGTGTGCTATCGTCCCTCTGATCAAAATGTTCAGGCTGGTCTTGAGCTGGAGAATGAAATCAAGGAGGCATCCTATCCTAAAAGGGAAGTGCTGTAGTAACAGGTGACTTCAATTGCCCTCAAATATACTGGGTACGTGTCTGTTCCAGTCACAAAAGATACAGGTAGTATCTTTCTAGATATGCTAATTCTACAAACCTGCAGGCCAAGACAGGCAAACTGGAGTGCTCAGCATTAGAGAAGAGATAGCTATTGCTGGAATTATAGAATTGCAGAAAACTGACTGTGAACCTGTTGAACATGATTGTCTCTAGATACAAACTCTACAGGAAGGAGAGGCGAGGGTGTGCTGAATGTGGCGTCATTCTTCTGGCTGCTATGTACAAAGCTCTTTCTTAAAAAATTGAGACATGCACCAAAGTTATTATCCTTTACCCACTGCTTTGGGAGTGAGCCCTATTGAGTACAGATGGCAGTGTAATTATGTCACTTGAGGTGGTGACCTGTTTTGTTAATGCAACACTAATTCACTTCCTCTCTTGACACACAGTAGTAAAGTTGATGTTGCATTAAAACAAAAAACACCGATCGCCATCTTAAGTGACACAATTAATCATTGTGCACTTTTAGTGGCGCTCCACCTTGGATGTGTGCAGGAGATGAAGGCAAGTGTAAGAATTGTAGGTTTGGCCTTGTGTGTCTAAATCTATTCCTTCATTAAAGCGCCTTTCTTTTAAGAAGATCAATGAGGCTAACGGCAAGCTGAAGCAAATACAGTAAAACAAAATTATTAAAAGGAGCAGAACACAACCAAGTACGAGGCAGCTATTAAAACAATTGGCATCCTCATGGAGTAAAAACCAATACAGAATTGCAAGTTTAAAATAGATCAGGGCAGGAGAGCCAGTATTGGACTCAGGTGTGAGAGAAATCGCCACTCATCCATGAAGCTCACCAGGTAACCTTGGCCAGTTGTTCTCTCTCAGCCTAACCTACATTGCAGGGTTGTTGTGAATGTAAAGTAGGAAAGACTATGCACATCTTAAGATTCTTGAAAGAAAATTGGGATATATATGTAGGTGGGATATATAAATCATTTACGGTATAAGAGATTTTAGCTGTCCGCATTAAGGAGAGCAAAATGAGCCTCTCTCAGGAGGCTGTTCCAGAGCCTCAGTACAGCCACTGAAAAAGGTCTGTCCCCAGTCCCAATTAAGCATACTTTTGGGAATGTTGAGACACACGAGGTCTGGTGCATACTTCAGGGATGGGGAACCTGTAACTCTCCATATGTTGCTGGACTCTATCTCCCATCAGCCCCAGCCACATTGCTAACGGTCAAGGATGATGAAACTACAGTCCAACAATATTGGGGTGGGTGGGGCACAGGGTCTCCACCTTGCCATATATCATGTGGGTGAGATTAACAGCAGTAAATTTGCTGTTAATCTAAGATAATTCTATAGAAAAGCACTAGTATGTCAGAGAACCACCATCTGTGTAAGTGACAGCCATTTGTTTAAGTCTGGAAAGATTAAACACTTGTTATCTTTGGGGCCCACACTAAGACAGATGAGAGCTAACCAAATAAGGTGCTACCTCGGGTTACAGACGCTTCAGGTTACAGACGCTTCAGGTTACAGACTCTGCTAACCCAGAAATAGTACCTTGGGTTAAGAACTTTGTTACAGGATGAGAACAGAAATTGTGTGGCGGTGGCGCAGCAGCCCCATTAGCTAAAGTGGTGCTTCAGGTTAAGAACAGTTTCAGGTTAAGAACGGACCTCCAGAATGAATTAAGTTCTTAACCTGAGGTATCACTGTAGCGCATCATACTTTTTATTCACTGGTATGTATCTACAAACTCCTGCTGTGGTAAATTAGGTATTTGCCGTGTTGTGCTGCGTTGCTCCTGAGTTGTCATCACACCAGCGTCAGTTGTGGTCATTCTCCTGACATGACATTTGTCACAGTAGTGACTTGCAAAAGGTAAGGAAAGGGGACTGCCTTCCACACTAGAAAGCACAATAAAAAAGAATGGTATTTCCCTGGAAGAATTGAATTTCTTACTAAAGGCATCAATAATGACTTGCTCAGTACCAGAAAGTAAGCGAAATATTCAGCCTTGTATTACATAGCACTCTGGAGAGAATTGGTTCCCCTCTGTTTTGCAAAGCAAAATGGGAGGTTTATACATCCATGTTGCCACTTGCTTAGTTTCCTCTGCGTTGCCCATAATTACTTCCTGGTTTGCAGGCGTTCTTAACTCTGAAACACTATCCAGCTGCTTCTGGATTGCAATGTATTAAGGAAGATTAGTCTGGGTCCTGTTCTGCAAAACATTTTATGCCTTGGGTAGGAAGTACTGTATTTTTCCATGTATAAGACTAGGTTTTTCCCCCTAAAAAATAATGTCCAAAATTTGGGGCATCCTGTACACGGATAGATCTCCCCCCATTTTCTTAAATCAGAGTCCCCCCAAATAGGGGGTGTCTTATACATGGGGGCGTCTCATAGACGGAAAAATACGGTAGTTCCTGATTGTGTGCCTAGATTGAGGGATGGGCCAGTATAGAGCTCACCAAACAATTACTTCTTGTACAAAAGTTATTGTACACCAAGAGCAGAATTGTAGTATAGTATCATATGTCAGGAGTGCTCTGATGGTGTTTCCTGCTTGGCAGGGGGTTGGACTCGATGGCCCTTGTGGTCTCTTCCAACTCTATGATTCTATGATTCTATCTTACCTTGGCGTTAGGGACAGGTTGAACATATAATTCAAAAAGTGTGTCATGAGTATGGATGGGCAAATCTGCCAAATTTTGGATGCTCTCAGTTTTTCATTTATTCCAGTCTTCAGTTCAAAACAACCAAAAGTTCAGCTCTTCATGTTTCCACGTCAGTTAAAAAGAAGAAAAGAAAGAGAAAGAAAGAAAAATCTTCATGGAAAGTTAGCAGCATTTAACTGAAAATCTCCTAACAGAGTTGTACTGCAAAATTCATTTTGAAGGATGACTACGCTTCAGAAAGTGAACTGTTTTGGGAAGTTCAAATTAGGTAGGTTTGCCTTTAGATATGAACTGAACTGGGATGACGACGATGATGATCTTAGAAATTGAGCCTGCAATCCCAAGTATGCTGAATTGTGTTAAAGCCCCACTGAACGCTGGGAGGCTTAATTTTCAAGTAAGCAGGTATGGAATTGGGTGGTAAGTTTGCATTCAGGCAATATTTTTCTTTAGTAAAGTAAAGGTAAAGGGACCCCTGACCATTAGGTCCAGTTGTGACCGACTCTGGGGTTGCGGCGCTCATCTCGCTTTATTGGCTGAGGGAGCCGGCGTACAGCTTCCGGGTCATGTGGCCAGCATGACTAAGCCGCTTCTGGTGAACCAGAGCAGTGCACGGAAACACCGTTTACCTTCCCGCTGGAGTGGTACCTATTTATCTACTTGCACTTTGACGTGCTTTCGAACTGCTAGGTTGGCAAGAGCAGGGACTGAACAACGGGAGCTCACCCCATCGCGGGGATTTGAACCTCCGA